TCAGTGGGTCTTCCAAATTAAGACGGAGTAGGAAAATTAGAATGAGATCCTTGGAATGGATGGAGTTGAAGGGATGTTCTTGAAACACAGGGACAGAACCTTAGGCTTTCTTGCAAGCAATCCTGAAAGCACAGGTAGAGGCAGCTGCGCGGGATGCAGCTCTGTCCTTGTGCAACTGCTCCCGGGGAGACTTCAGTCTCTGTCCTCGCTCAGATTCTCACTGCGCGTGACTCTCTCCGCCTCTGCCACGGAGGACAACCCTCCTCTACGACCTGCGGCGAATGGGTTAAAACAAAGGGTGATTCTGAAGAAACTGGCTTCAATTCCTGGTTCTGTTGCTTCACTAGGATGTCAGCTGGGAGGTCTTTGCACAGAGAAGATGTCGGCTGGGAGGTCTTTGCACAGAGAAGATGATCTTGCTCAGCAAGGCAGGGTATTGGGAGGAGAGAGAGATAATACCTGTGACAGTGCTTAAAGCCCAGTCCCTGGCACAAAACAAGCACTCTGTATTTTCTGGAATTCTACAACACTTCATTAATAATTTAAAAATGCATAACAATAGAAAACATGTCAAATTCCAAATGGTTAATCCTCAGATATGCACTCCCATATGTCAGTATTTATATATCTTTTACTCATGTTAATTTATTTTCATACATAAAAATTGATATAGCGGAGAATGAGAGTTGGAGGAATTCATGTTCAACTTTGGAGAGGTTCCTATATAAAAGGTATTCTTTTTTTTAAAAAAACATTTTATTCGGGGCTCTTACAACTCTTATCACCATCCATTGTGTCAAGCGCAATTGTACATATGTTTTCATCATCATTTTTGAAATATTTTCTTTCTACTTGAACCCTTGGTATCAGCTCATCCTTCCTCCTTCCCTTATGAACCCTTGATAATTTATAATTTTTTTGCACGTCTTACACTGACAATGTCCCCCTTCACCCACTTTTCTGTTGTTTGTCCCCCTGAGATAATCATTGTTATCAGTTCCCCTTTTCTCCCCTCCCCTTTCCCTCCCCTCCTGGTATCTCTACTCTCATTATTGGTCCTGAAGGGTTAATCTGTCCTGGATTCCCTGTGTTTCCATCTCTTATCTGTACCAGTGTACATGTTCTGGTCTAGCCAGATTTTTAAGGTAGAATTGGGGTCATGATAGAGGTGGGGAGGAAGCATTAAAGAACTAGAGGAAAGTTGTATGTTTCATCGGTCCTATACAGTACCCTGACTGGTTTGTCTCTTCCTTGTGACCCTTCTGTGAGAGGATGTCCAATTGTCTACAGATGGGCTTTGGGTCTCCACTATGCACTTCCCCTCATTCACATTGATATGATTTTTTGTTCTGGGTCTTTGATGTCTGATACCTGATCCCATGGACACCTCATGATCACACAGGCTGGGGTGCTTCTTCCATGTGGGCTTTGTTTCTTCTCAGATAGATGGCCGCTTGTTTATCTTGAAGCCTTTAAGACCCTAGATGCTCTATCTTTTGATAGCCGGGCACCATCAGCTTTCTTTAACACATTTACTTATGCACCCATTTTGTCTTCAGTGATCGTGTTGGGGGTGGTGAGCATCACAGAATGCTGGGTTATTAGAACACAGTGTTCTTGCATTGAGGGAGTACTTGAGTAGAGGCCCAATGTCTGTCTGCTATCTTAATACTTAGTAAATATGTGTATATAGATCTATTTCCCTATTGTTATATAAAAATATATTTACATATGTACTTGCCTGTATTTAGACCTCTATAAATGTCTAAAAGGTATTCTTCTAATGTACATGTTTTATTTTAATAGAATTCTTTCCTAATCTTTTTAAAAAATGAACCTATTGCCTCAAAATGCTGTTATTTTCTGTTTACATATTTTTTAAATTGTATATTAGGTGGGAGTTTACAATTCAGATAATCAATTTTGTATTCAGCAGTTTAAACTACTAATCAACCCCCCCAATAGTTTCCTCTTCTACAGCTCCTTCATTTCTCTTATCGCTCTTGTGATTGACTATCTTTCCTTTTACCCACGTTACTACCGGTCCACCTCTACCCAGCCCATCGCTTCCTTTCCCTTCCATGCCCTTCCTTTTCCTTGGTGCTCTCCAAAGTCTGTTCCCTTTGGTGTGAAAGTCTTCATCTTTTTTTTCCTCCCTGTAATACTGGTCTCATAGAATATTTGTCCTTCTGTGATTCTTGGTGTCTAATCCTGATGAAAAAACTATTGGAAGAGTGCAAAGCCTGTAGTAGATGAGAGATAATGTATTTGTATGTGTAGAAGTCTAGTGATCAGTAGGCTGCAGCTGTTTTTATTAGCAAAGCATTGTGTTGCCTGGGATGAACATAATGTGGACAGCCCTGTTTCCCCCCAGCTCCATACTTCCCAAATGATAATGGCTAACACTGACATACGAGGCACTGGTGATTCAGTGGTAGAATTCTTGCCTTCCGCATGAAAGACCTGGGTCCCATTCCTGCCAGTGCATCTCATGTGTAGCCACCATTACAATGTTTGTGGGCAGAGCTTTGTGTATTGCTATGAGGCCAAACAGGTCTCAGTGGGTCTTCCAAATTAAGACGGAGTAGGAAGAAAGAGCTGGTAAGCTACTACCAAATCAGCCAAGAAAAATGGTCTCATTGGCAACTGACCAAGAGATCAGGAAGCATTTGATTCTGTTTTGCATGGAGTGCACATGAGTCGAAGACCAGCTTGTTGGCAGACAACAACCCACATAACAAATCTTGTGCTCCAGATACGAGTGTGAACAGCTAGCAAGAAATCACTAATTTAATTCTCTCAACAACTCAATGGGTTAGATGTTCTTGTGTCCCTCAGGGTCCTGCAGGGGAATGAAAGCACAGCAATTATTTAAACAAAGAATTTAATGTGAAGAATTTAACCAGTTGTGAAACTGTTAACTGGGAAACAAGGGCAAAAAGAGGTATTTGAGAGTTAGCAGCTGCCATCTTCAGGGCTGAGGGAAGAGCTGAATGATTAAAGTTTCCTAGACTCTAAGTGGAAACACCCTTCCAAGCTGAAATCCAGACTTCTGAGGAGATGGTGTTGGTCCCTCTGAGGGATACATCATGAGGCTAATTCTGCAAGTTCTGGGTTCCACAATGACTACGAATTGGGTTGTTGACTTTGCAGCAAGAAAGGGTGACCCTACTGAGGGGAGGCTCCCAGGAAGATTTCAAGAAGTCTGCTTTCCTTCCTCTTTAAACCATGTAGTTTGGATTTCACAAGAAGCCGGGTGACTGAACAAAAGTGTGGTTTGCATAGCCCCAACCAAAGCATCATAAAGATGCCTATAGAAAGATGTGTTTGGAGTGATGATGCAGTAGCTTCATAACTACAGTTATGAAGGTACAATTATTCGTTCCATTTAGCAGATGAGAACCAAGGTGTGTTAAGCTGTGTCTGTCCACAGTCATCCAGATAGGCAGAAGTAGTATCTGAATGAGAACATAATCTGGCTCCAAAGTCCAAGTTCTTGGATAAGTGACCTTGGACAAGAACATTTCTCTGAGCTTTATTTCTAAAATCTGTCAGACGATATTG